AGCTAGATTTGCATAGCACTTAACACAGTGTTGGGAAAATGTCACAAAAGTCCACAACAAAGCCTGCCCCCCACCACTGTGCAAGCTGGGAGGGGGGTGGGGAGGAAGGCCATGGCCTCCTGTCCTGCCCTAGGGTCTCAGGATACAGAGCATCTCAAGGCTGCTCAGCCCCCAGCAGCACCTGGGCAGGTGTGGCGGCCACGGTGATAGTGTGGGTTGGTCCAGAGAGGGAGCTGACCCACTTTTGTGGAGGCTGCGGTTCCTGACCAGCTTTACGGCCCTCTCCTGGGGACCCCGGGCTGGGAGCTGAGGCACCCCGAGGGGGAAGAGTCACTGTGTCCTCAGGCCCTCCCCCCACCCGCTACCCGGCCCAGAGACGGTACCTTTGTCCAGGACGGGCCCGAAGATGGCCAGGCTGTCGTCTATGGTGGTGCAGTTCCAGCGGCGGCCCCGGAACTGGTGCTGGCACTCCTGGATGCCCAGCTTCACGCCCTCGGCCACGCTGGGCATGATTTCGATGTAATTCCGGCAGAAGCGCAGTTGCTTGGGGACCAGGCCTGGGATGGAGCCGCAGAGCAGGGGCTGTGAGCCCAGGGATGTGTACTGCTGGCCCAGGGCCAGGGACCTGCGGGTAGACAGAGGGTGGGGGCACATGGCCCATCAGGGGCCTTTTTTCTTCCTCGTGAGCCCTCTGGGGTAGGCGGAGCCATGCCGGGCCCGTGGGTCAGCCGGAGCCCAGAGCCTCGAGCAGCCCGGCACCTGAGTGCGCTCCCTGGCCTCAGCAATACACTGCCCCTTGAAGGGCAGACCGACACGCGGGCATGTCGGACGTTAGTGTGGGGACCCACAGAAACCTCTCGCGGGGGCATTGGGGGCCACGCAATACCATGAAAAAAACCCTGGACTGGAAAGGTGGATTTGGGGGCCCAGGTTAAGTCCCTCCTAGGCTCTGGGCCAGTTGCCCTGATGATCGGGCCCTGAAGCGGTTGGGCTGGACAATCTTCTAGGGAGTCTAAGTGTCTGGGGTCACACAGAGGCTCCAGTGACCCATGGGAAATAACCCAAACCTAAAGCGAGGGAGGTGACAGGAGTTGGCTTGACCCCAGTCCCATCTCAGATGAAGTAGAGAAGCAGAGAAGCCCCAGTCCCAGCAGGAAACTCATATGTACACGTGTGCCTGAGGATTGCGCACACACACACACACACACACACACACACGCTGCCCATGGCAGTGTGCCTGAGCCTCCTCCCCAGGACGCTACCTGCCCAGCCAATAGCCCCCCAGCGCCTCCCCAGGGAACTGGTGGCTTCTACTGGGTCCTCTGTCCTTTGTCCCCCAGGGCCTCCATGACCATCTTGGCAGCTTCCTAGAAGTTTCTAGAGTGCCGTCTTCCCTCTCAGCTGAGACTGGAGCTTGGCTTTGTGTCAAGACAAGAGTAGCTCAGTGTCAGGAGGGAGAAGATCCCAGATCATACTCTCCCAGCCAACACTCATGACCTTAGTCAAGTCACCTTACTCTTCTAACCCTCATTTCTCAATCAATATCCTGTCAACCTCTCAGCTTTTATAAAGAGTCAACAGAAGGGAAGGTCTTGTGGGGAGCGAGGGATAGAGTTTAAAATACTAGAAAGCCAAGGTGCTGTTCTTCCCCTCTCTCCCCCAGCACTGGAACAGCAGGGATGACATTTTGCGGGAGAAACTGAGAAAATGATCTGTGGGTCTCAGTGGACTCGAAGGCCAGTAGCAATCAGCCCTGTGATCAGGGACCGTGTGAGCCGGAAGAAGGGTTGCATGGGGGCCCATCTCCTCCCCCTTCACATCCAGCACTGACCCAAGGCTCCAGTCTGGCAGTGACCTCAGTCGAGTCCCCCACCCAAAATCATGACAGAAGCCTTGGGAAGAGGGACCAGAAGACCCCAAATACAGATCGGGAAAACACACACACACACACACACACAGGCTTCCTGGACTAGACACAGGGCTGAACTAAACGCCTGCCATTTATCAGCTCTCACTCTGTGCCAGCTGCTTTACCTGTAGCATTTCTGATCACTTCTCCAAGGTTGGAGAACATCACCAGCCCCCGGCCGAGGAAGCCGAGGTTTAGGAAGTAAGTTAGCTTGTTCAAGGCTTTTTGGTGCCCGGCCCGTGGCAGAGCAGAGCATGCTCACCGGGCTGAGCCTTTTCCTTGGGTTTGCTTCGTGGAATCCTTATAACAACTGTATGACACAGAAGGGCCTTCACAGCGGCCCTATTTTTGGTGGCGTGGCCTTGTATACTGAGCATCCAGCCCAGCCCACAGAGCTGCTAAGAAGCTGCTCATTGGATCCCAGGCCATCTGACTCCAGAGCCTGGGGGTCAAACCACTGTGCCGCCTGCCTTCTGGGCAATGCCCGCTTGGGGCCTGAGGCGGGGGGGGTGGCGTGAGGGGCTGCCTGTAGGCCTGGCCCATCTGTGCCCTGAGCCTCACCGTGGATCCCATGCCTGAGTGGGATAGAGCGGGTCAGCCCAGAGCCCCCTGATGGGCACATGGCACGCAGCCCCTGATGGGGCCCTGCAGCTGTTCTCTCCTGCCCCCACCCTGGTTACGGTTATAAACAGCTTATCACGAGAATAATGATATTCAACTATCTATCACTGATTATATGCTGGGCCAGTTCTAAGCGCTCATGTCTCTCGCCTTATGTAATCCTCGTTGCAGCAAGTCTATGAGGTAGGAACTTCATTATCATCATTATTATCCCATTTCCTAGACGAGGAAACTGAGGCCAGGAAGCTAAGTAACCCGCCCCAGTCTGCAGGACTGCACAGTGTCAGAGTTGAGCCTCCCTCCCCGTTCAGGCTGCCTCCCCATGTGCTCTTTTCTTTTTCTTTTTCTTTTTTTTTTTTTTTGAAGATTTTTAATTATTAGAGAGAGAGAGAGAGCACAGGTGGGGAGGAGAGGGAGAAGCAGACTTCCAGCTGAGCAGGGAGCCCGACGTGGGGCTCAATCCCAAGACCCTGGGATCATGACCTGAGCTGAAGGCAGACGCTCAACCGACTGAGCCCCCCAGGCGCCCCTCCCCACGTGCTCTCAACCCGCACCTGCAGCCCTGCCCTGCCCCGCCCTGCCCGCCGCCCCAGCAGCTCTACAGTCCCTGCAGCGGGAGCCGGGCCCAGGGCTCAGGGTGGAGAGTCAGCGCAGCGCCGAGCGGGCAGCGCGGGAGCAAGGCTCCCCTGGGGAGAAGCCCAGGCCTTCCCCACTTCCTCCTCTGACATTTAGGACCTGAAGCCCCAGATGAAGAGGACAATCGGAGAGGGGAGCTGAGACCTGATAGGGGGGCCTCTGCCACCCCCGGAACCGCACCTTGATTTGGTCTGAATGGGGTCGTGATTCCTGGCCACCTCCCCGTGCCCTGGTCTGGCCCCTGCCCGTCCCAGAGCAGCATGGGAAGACCTGGCACCCACTTCCCAGCCTCAGAGTCCCTCTCCTTTGGCCAGAGCCAGTCTCCCCAGTGTCCTCATCATAGGCACCTCGGTCCATGCCCGGGTCCGGAGGTGTGGACTGGCCCTGTGGTGGCCACGCTTGCCATCAGCTTGGCCTCCTGCCCCCACGACACACTCTGAACTGGGCCGGTCTGCCCCACAGTCACTTCTGGCACCAGGGGCCCTGTCCCATGTTCCCATGTCACCCCCCCATTATTGGTCTGCTCACCAGCCAAGGCCCCGAGTGCCCCAAGTCTCCAGCCTCCTTTTGCCCAGAGATGGGCATCCTCCATCACTTTCCTCCTTCCTAGCTCTCTCCTAGCCCCTCGGCAGGCCCAGGCCCCCTCAAGCTAAGCTTGAGTCCTGGACTAGAATTAGAACCTATGAGAGGAGCCCTAAGAGAATGCGAAGCCCATTTATACAGATGAACAAGCGAGCGGCCCAAAGAGAGAAGCAGCTTGCCCACGGCTGCACAGCCAGAACCACGGGGCCAGGTCGGGCCGCCCCCACAGCAGAGAAGGGACACCGAGGAGTGGGGATGCCCCTGCTGGCTCTTCATTTCCACTTGGCGACACCACTTCTCGTCCCCGCCCTCCAAAGGGGCTCCCGCTCCCTGGTTTCACCAGCTCCCTTCCCCGGGGTCCAAGGGCGGCCTCCCCAGCCCGGCAGAACCCCCGAGCCCTTGGCACCGGCTGGCCGCAGAGGCCAGAGTTGCTCCCCAAACTTCCCCCAGCAGGGAGAGGCCTCTGAAGGACACCAAGTCCTTCCTACTGGACGACTGTGGTCTCTCCTCCAGCCCAAGCACATTCTGTCTTGCCCTCCGTGGTCACATGCAATGCCAGCCATCACGACGGCGCCCGTTTCTTCCGCACGTCTGTGCCTGGCACGTCACATACATCACGTCATTAGATCTTCACAACAGCTCCGGGGGGTGGGCGTTGCCACCCCCATTTTACAGAGGGGGAAACCGAGGCACAGAGAAGCTGGGCAGCTTACACAGGGAAGTGGCTGAGCCAGAATTCCACGCTGGGTTTGTCAGACTCCGAGTATGACGCCCTCTGAAAACAACTCTGGGCCGCAGAGATGATGAGGTTTTTTTTTTTTCTTTTAAAGATTATTTATTTATTTATTTGAGAGAGAGAGAGAGAGAGCAGGAACAGGAGCAGAGGGAGAAGCAGACTCCCCACTAAGCAGGGAGCCCGACACGAGGCTCGATCCCAGGACCCCGAGATCATGACCTGAGCCGAAGGCAGACGCTTCACCGACTGAACCCCCCCAGGTGCCCCCAGAGATGATGAGTTCTTTCCCTTCTGGCCAAACCCGGGCTCCTCCCTGCTGCCCAGGGGCCAACCCAGTGTGCAACCCAGAGCCAGGCTGCCCGGTGCAGACCCAGCTCTGCTGTTTCCTAACTACTGATCTCAAACAATTCACTCAGCCTTTCCCTGCCTCAGTTTCCTCACCTGTAAAATAGACATAATAAGAGGAAGGAATGATAAAAAGCGCCGAGCACACAGGAAGCCCTGTGTTTAGGGGCTGTTCCCAGCACTTTGTCCCCTGTCCTGTCAGCAAACTCCTGCCTCCTGCCCTCCCACTCCTGACTTGATAGAACACGTCAGAATTTCCAGAGCCCCTTCCCATCCATCACTGGGAAGGATGCCCTGGATCAGAGCAAAGTCGGCCCCTTCCCTGGCAGCTCAGTCCTAACTGGGGGTGGCTGGACGCGGTCATTTGTAACCTGGCTCAGTGTTAAAGGTAACCCAAAAGGCAAGGGCAGGGGAACATTCCCAGAATGCTCCATTCAAGGGTTTCAGCTCCGATCTGGACATCCTGCTGGTCGTGGGCAAGGCCCCCTGGGGATGGGGGCGACGGGCTGGGGATGGGGCTAATGAGGCCTTGGCTGTGGGATAGCTGCCCTCCCCCACACGTGGCCTGGTACCCCTGACCCTGAGCCTCCTCCCCACACAGAGCCCAGGACTGAAATTCTACCACCACAGATGCATCAATTTCACCCACAGCTCCTTGTCCCCACTATGAAGTGCATGCTCCCCCGGGGGGGTCACACAGTGAGCCTCATTCTCCTTCAGTCTTCCTCCCAGAGTGCAAGCAGCTCCGGGTGCTGGGCCCGCCCACCTCCTCTCACCCCTCCACACCTCTGCGCAGACTGAGCCCCCTCCTCCCGGAGAGCCTGT